GCAGGGAGGTGTGAGTAGTTAGGGCATAGGTAGCAATTGAAGGTTTGTCCGTGGTCACCCGGATGTTACGTAATACGCAGTAGTTTGACATTTTCCAGTCGGAATACTGTCGGAGTACATGTGGGTTTTGCAGTGACAGGAGGCAGAATTGTTCGCCCCTGCTGCTTAATCAATGTTTCAACTCTGTATGCAACGCTGTCAAAATGGATTTTTGATAAATCGATGTACTTCAGTACCTGTTTTGCTTACAAACTCGTAGCAGCAATATTGTACAGATGTAGCAGGCTGAAAAGATGAAATGTGATGTTTCTGGGTCAGTTTTAGAGATCTATGTAAAAGTTGCATTTAAGTTTTCAATGGAAAATTAGTAAAATAACAATGTAGTTAATGAATGATATTTATAAACTGCATTTATAATTAAGCCAGGACATTTTTTCTTAGCCTCCCTCCCCCCCCCTTCCCCTGCCCAAGTTGCAATCTGCATATTTGTCATCATCGGATTGTCCGTAACAGTGTTTCAGCATGGGAATAATTTAAATTCATGTAAACTAGACAGGTGTTTTTCAGACTGTGGGTAGAGGAATTGGTTCCTCATTGCTAGAGTGTGTTCTTTTAGTATTAAAGTGTAGTTTATATAACACATTAACACAGTTATATCTTGACATATGTTTGAGATGGAGCATTTCAGGGGGGAAAAAAATGTTTATCATAAAGTGGCTCAAATTTCGAAGAAAGGTTTTTCTACATATCTAGGGTAGAGGAGTGTTAATTAGACCACATGTGTACTGTTCTAACATGGGCATCTTTTAATTATGGGTTTTGCCATTTGAATTTGTTTGTCCACATATGTCTTGTACCTTATTTATTTTTACTCACTTAACAGAGTTATCCTATCCATCCCCTGGACGCAGGAGGGCATTCAACAAAAAACGCCACTCTTGGCAATCACTGGAAACAACCTTCGAACAGCTCCAACCCAGTTCTTCTCTATCTCTTTCGATTTATTTTTTGCAGAAACAAAATGCATTTTGAAAGTATTGTTTTGATAAACATTTTATTTTCTTGAACATCAGTTGTTAATTGGAATATATTACAATATCCAAGAAAAGACTGTATCACCCAAAAAATTGCGGATAGTTGAAGACTTCTTATGTGGACACAGTGCTAGGAATTACACCATGCTCAGTCAATGTTACCCAAATGCACATATCTTGAAAATCTATGCAGTTTTAATTACACTCATTTCTGTGCTGGATGTTGCAACAGTATGTAACAGCAAGGGCAAGATTAGTCATGTAGATTTATCTAAATCATCTTTAGGTAGTATAACTTAACGTATGTTCAATCTGTGACCCCCAGGGGTAAGAGTGGTCACAATAGGTGATGAAAGTTTTACATAAAAGTATGTAAACCAGGAAAAATCTCTAATTAAAAGAGTTGCTGGAGTGGCACAGTGGTTAGAGCGTCTAATCTAGAGTCGCGAAGTAAGGACTAAGGAGTTGATCCTTATGTCAAGGGGTTGAATCCCACTGTTGGAATTGGAGACCAGTATAAACCGAGGTCCCGTGTTGCAGTAGGTGCTGGCCTGAAATAGATCCCTCTCTGCTCAATGGCCTAAGTGCTAAGTATAGGACTAAATTTGCAGCTGTCCGCCAACAAGTGGTGGCATCTGCATATGAGTGAAAAATTCTCGAGAGGGACGTTAAACTATATATAATTAATTAATCAATCTAATCAAAAGATCTTGTATTGAAACTAGGAAATGCATGATTATTCATATAGATATGGAAATTTTCTGAGGTAGACCAGTGATGATAAAATTTTGTTCAATTCGTGACATCCAGGGTTGGGTTGGCCCACTATAGGCAATCAGTGATTTATATAGGAATGAGACTGATGATGGCTTTACTTAATGTGACTCATGTGAGCATTGTGGTCCATGGGCATTTGAACATCTCTTGAAATGATCAATTTATTCATTAAATGAATTAACATAGTTATGACATAAAACTGTTCAAAGTTGATATTATTTTAGTATAATGAGACATTGCCCTGTAAGATTTGCATACTGTACATGCTGTATGATGCTTCACTCTGGGAAGGAAGCTGTGACTACGACAGACATGTTTTATCTGTTAGCTTCATTTTCCTTGTACCCATAAATAGGATTTTGTTAACCAATGTGCTGTTTAAAGTAGATTTTGATCCTTTATAATCTATAGATTGATTTTGTTCTTTGTTTACAATGAGTTAGGCGTCATTGTGAACTCGGGTTGAATTTAGATTACCCTGGATGTTTAAATCAAGTGTAGGGTTTTGTTTGGGTATCTGTGAATTATCTGATAATCAAGGGTTAAAATTGAAAATTGGCTGAAAAAAATGTTATTATCAAAATTTGTGTATATTTATTTGTATATTATCTGACAGAGATTTGCTGAACCTAGTAATCTTACACATTCGCAGTTTAACAACAAGTTTGTAGATAGGGAACATATTTGACCTGAACCTTAGTAAATATTAGGATGTTCTAAAAAAAAACGTATCAGCATTACAGATCAGTACTGCAGTCAGCATCATATACATTCTATAATTGAATGAGTGAGTCCTTTCGTGTTCATAGTCCATCATCTAAGACCAATACATCACAATAACCCACAGCTATGGAGTTGAGAGCCTGGAATTGTAAACAATGATACAGCCATATTAACCAGTAGGGTATCTCTATACTATACAGGATGCCCTGCAATGAATAATCAATCAATTGCTGATTCTTATATCATCTTTGTCAAACTGCAGGAAGCATTCCATGAAGCAGGCTATTAGACCAGGCTCCAGTGTATGGCACTAGTGCCGGAATGTAGCTGCAATATAGAGCTATTGATCTGTGGATGAAGACAGGGCCTGCTCTGTTTAGGGTTTTCAGTGAAGTTCACTGTTATTTATGGATTGAGGGCTCAGTTTATCTACTCTAGATCCAAACAAACAAAACATTACAATGAATCGGTTTTCAACTTTAATGGGATTTTGTTATGTCTGATGAGCATATCAAACCTGCTAATGTGACAAGATTACTAGGTTCAGCAAACTCTGTCAGATAATACACAAATAAATATACACAGGTATGATAATAACTTCTTTTCATGTTCCATCTAATTTTTAATTTATCAGTAATTATCAAATAATTCACAGATTCCCCAAATAAAACCAAACACTTGACTTTAACTTGAATGACCCAGACATATTACAATTTACTGACATAGACAGATGTTTATAAAGATGTAATAATCATGTATCATATTCACCTAAACAGGACACTGCCCAGTTATTAAGACCGGGAAGGTAATAAGGACACTGGTCAGATGGGATAGAATTATGGGTGTATATGTAAGATGTTTTATAGGTGTCATTGAGTTTATCTAGGTTTGTGGCACACAGTTTAAAGCTTTTCAGACATATATGAGAGAAGTGTCTTTAGTCTGGGGCGAAACCCCCCAACATCCACCCTTGTCCTTCTCATTCTTCTTATTGGAAACCCAGTCCTTGTTAAATTTTGGGTGTTTTCTGCTTTTATTTTATTTATCATGTTTACATAGGAAAGGTAATACTTGTATTGATAAGGACGTGAGACTTGATGACATTGTATTAAACCTGGGTCATATTTTGTTACTACATGTATATATAGAATAGTCTCAGGGGGTGGGGAAAGATTGCATGTTCACAGTTCTCCTGACAGAATTCCAGTGGTGCTGTGTCTCTTTGTGGGGCCCTCATAAGGGAGGAATCAATAGATCTCACTGAACAGGGAATATTCCACATTAATAATTCAGTCACTTTGTACTGTAGAATGATGTAACATGAATGGGATATGGAACCAGTTATCAATACATATAACTTCACTTAAGGACATACACAACGTACCCTACCTACTGATAATTTTCCAAGATATTCTAAATTTAAACTTATAATATCATTAAATGTTCTTAGACATTAAAAATATTGCACACAGGTCCTTCATTTAGTGGAACTCTTCAACTCCAAGGGAGAATCCAAAAAAGTTAAAACTACGTTGTGTATGACCTTAAACAACATGAATGAGGTCTACCATGTTTGCAATGGTAGAGATGAGGAAGGGGAAGGGGAGGGGGAGGAGATCATATCTACATACAATCAGCAGTACTTTTTGTTTTGGATATAAAAAAATTCATCCTAAGCTTAGCATATTTTTTTTTATATATCTCAACTGCTGAAAATGGTGGTGATAATTTATAATCATGACATATTAACTAACCAATAAAAAACACACCTATTTTAACCCACACAAGTGTACAACAATGTATAAGTTCCTCTTTCCTCCCAGACATTTTTATTAGGATCTACTCATTTCCTCTCTAGGCCTGCATAACTGACCCCCTTCCAATGCTCTCTTGTGGAGCCCTCTATGTTTCTGCCCCCAACCCAAGCTTTCATGCCAGAGTCTAACCTATTTCTCCTCCCAAGCCTTTAAACTAGAAACTCCATATTTCCCCCCTTTATCTTAACACTAAGTGTCCTACCTATTTCTCCTTCCCACCCTGTAAACAAGAACCCTAACTCTATCCCCCCCCACCACCACCACCAACACACATCCACATACTCCCCAATTCTTTCCACCAACTAATACCCCACTTATTTTCAAGCTCTAAAAACTTCTTCATATTTATTTCTTTGCTAGTGCACCATGTATACTGTTCTAGAGGCTGATGCAGCACCTTATAGGAATACCATGGCATTCTTTTGACTGTTGATGGAATGTTTATTTTACAGATAATTTCTACCTGAGAGTCAATTGTTAGTGTTCCATTGCTAGGTCAGAAGGATATCATATTTCATCATTTCATACTCCAGTTTAACATATTACAATTCAACTCTGATTAATATATGAACTAGTCTTTGCAGACAGCAGAAGGTGGTATTGTTGTCCTGGCTGACATTACCTTTCTTGTTTGGTTAATCTTCAGTAATGCTTTCTAATCAGTACAATAATGTTCAGGCCTAGAAAAAAAATATGTTTGTTTCCGCTTTCCCGACCGACCCTAATTTATAGTGCCGACCCTAAAATTTTTTTTAATGCTTTTGGCCCATGATGTGCAAGATTTCACCCAGGGAATTATAGTCTCCAACTTTGCAAGCTTTTCAAGACAGAAAGAAGTTTGGATCACCTTTCTATTATAAGTTTTAACTCACAAAAATGCTTGAAAACACCATTTCTTTTGTCATTATCATTAATGTTACTACTATACACGTTTTGATTAAAGAAGCAAAAAGAAAAAAAAAAAATTGCCTACCTACCTACCCTATATTTTTTCAGCCCGAAAGCGGAAACAAACTTATTTTTTTTCTAGGCCTCACCAGTTTACATCTATGATTCTTGATCATGCTGATGCGAATGAAATATGAATGGACAAGCAAAATAAATGATTTTTTTTTTTTTCATAAGTTAAAAAAAAGAATGTTAATCCAGATATTCATATATTTTTCTTGAATAATAATCAATTGTTATAGAAGTGAGATTTAATTTTTATGCCCCCTTTAAAGAAGGAAGGACATACTGATTTTCTGCTTTCTCTTGGTCAGTTGGTAGGTCTGTTTGTCCTCCAAGTTTCAGTTCATTTTCTTTGCGGAGGTTGAACACACTGAAATGAAATTTGGTATACAGATTTATCATAAGAATATCTAGGGCAAGTTCTGTTTTGGGTATAATTGCACCATTTTTGTCAGAGTTATGGCCCTTGGACTTAGAGAAAAATCCATTATTTGTAGTTTCTGTTTAATTATTTTCTTTGCATATAATGATGTACGTATGAGGGGCAGGGGGGGGGGGAGTTAAGTGTTTTACAATCATCTCTTGTTTGTTATTTAGATTTGTATCAATATTACATATATAATTTCAATTACTTTAACTTTTCTGTTGTATTTCGGATTTAATACAGTGTACAAATGAACCTTATGTCTCAATCCCCTAGCTAGCTGATGTAATCTTTCCATGACTTACACATTCTCTGTTGTATTTCAGATTTAATACAGTGTACAAATGAACCTAATGTCTCCATCCCCCAGCTAGCTGATCTTCTAATCGAACGCACCCAACACCAGAGCTGGGTCATTGTATTCAAAGCCCTCATCACCACACACAACCTAATGAACTATGGAAACGAAGTAAGTCTATATTTGGAATTAAGTGAGAGAAATGAAGATCTCATCAATTTTTTTCTGGAGGGAGGTGGTTAGACCCTCATAGTCATTTAAATCAGGGAAGGGGGGGGGGCTTTAAAAAAAATTCTGTTTTGAAATTGTCACATTGACATGTCTCAGTTAAGTTTCCCTTCTTAATGAAAGATTGTTTGTTTACCTAATCTTTGGATGAGATGATACTTTCCAAAATATACTTTTAATGGCATCTTTACAAGACAGTGTTAGGTCAGGGTCACATATAAAGTTCAGAGGTCAAGATCACTCATACAGAACAGAGGTCAGATATGAATTAATACTAAAAGATTGAGCCACCGTCATTTTCATGAGTTGATCTCTAGACTTGTTTTTCATTCCATGTTTTGTTGTTTTATTTCAGAGGTTTACACAGTACCTGGCTTCCAATAATTGCTCCTTTAACCTGGCGCAGTTCATCGACAAACAGGGAGTTCAAGGTAGGAATGCTAGTCCACTCTATAGAATCTGGAGATAAGCTCTTGATGTTCATTCAGGGCTCTCGATTCTCTAAAATTGGGGCCATTCAACGGCTCCGTTCCCAATGCAAAAAGGTACCTTTTTTCCCAAAAGAAAGGTGTAAATTTCCCAATTTCCATCCAGAGTAAAATATTAATTAAAAAATAAAAGTCCATCAAACCTAATCGCAAAAAAAAAAACCCAAACAAAACACATTTGCAAATGAAAGTGAAACTGTACTACTATTTTATTAGTTCGCGCCAAATGCATTCGTAAACTGGTTCATTGAACCAGGTTATTGTTTTTACACAAATGTATACAACTATGAGTGCAGAGTATCTTGTTATGTAGTTTCGACAAAAACCAGCATTTTGGTTTCAAAAATAGACATTTCATTTAAACATTAGTAAGCTGCACCTTTGAAACAGACCTGCGCTTCGGCATGTTCACTTGTGTATTGGTAAGCAAAGTTGCCCATGTGATCGAGGAAATTCATGCTCTATGTGTACTAGCGACTGTCACGCAGTAAGACATATAACCGCAATATTAACACACATAGATAGTAATGACAAAGCTAATGTACTTTCATAAATAGTATCCATGTTTGTTCTGTTTAACTGTTTATTCAACACCAGAGTTACATTGATGACAAAATGCTAAAAAAGCAAAATTTGAGGATTTTTTTTAATGAATTTTGGTTATCCAACTTTTCCCAAAATGACGATAATTTTCCCAATTTGAACGGCCCCGGCCCCAGTCCCAAAAAGTGGTGTGAGAGCCCTGTCATTGTCACACCATTGTACCATCAACCTGTAGTCAGTTGTGCATTGATGCAATAACTATGGAGTGGTACTTGTCTACCTTATAGAATCTGGAGATGAGGTTGTGAAATTCACTATGATATGATCATACCATTAACCTATAGACAATGGTGTATTTTGCCATTATCATTGATACAATAATCACACTGATTTTTGTTTTCATTACGGCATAACACAATCACATTAGGCCACAATATGTGATAAAGAGATTCATGAGTTTCATCATGCAGTGTGTCATTACACCATTATCATTTTATTATTAAACATGTCATCACTTTTTCATCATAAACTGATAAAGTTGTTTTCTTATGATTCGTTGTGATGTCATCAATGTTTAATTTTCGCATTGTCATCATGATTTTGCACTCTATTGCTTTCATCATTGCCTTATTTGTGATACATATAACATCACATAGACACTTTCACATGAAGACTGTTCGATCAATCAAGCGTTTACATGATTCTTTCCTATTTTGTATATTACTCAAACGTACAGACACCTCTGGATATTTAGAAGGAAAAAAAATTAGATTTTGTTGGAAAAATTCTAAAAAAGTCAGCCGGCAATGCCAAACAAAGCTAATTTTATTTTTGGCCTTATCAATCCAAAGCTTTAATAAAATCTTCCTGAGATTGAAGGCTAGATTTTGACTGAAAAATTCTTCAAAAGTTACCCTATGAAAAGTTACTACTGTAGTTTTGGGTGTGTTGGTGGACAGATTTCATTGTGTATCATGTAATATTTATGGTAGACCTAAAACTTATCATGTTTGTAGGATCGCCGTGTCAGTTTTGTATAAGTTTGTATGATTTGAGATTGGTACTTGTGTCATGACTTTTTGTTGAACTGACAGTGTCTCTTTTCAGGGTATGACATGTCAACGTTCATAAGAAGGTATTCCAAATATTTAAATGAGAAAGCTGTCTCCTATCGTCAAATGGCCTTTGATTTCTGCAAAGTCAAAAGAGGGTAAGTGACAAAGTAATGTCAAAAGAGGGTAAGTGACAAAGTAATTCCTACATTATAGACATGTTTCTCCATAAATAAAGTCAAAAGAAGGTAAATGGGAAAAACCCACCCATATAACTCCCTCCCCCCATTATAAACATGCCACGCCCACCTCCCCACCTCAATAATGTCAAAAGAGGGTTAGTGAGAAAAACCCACCTATACTTATAAACATCCCCCCCCCCCCCCCCCCCCCCCCCCCCCCCCCCCCCCCCCCCCCCCCAATAATGTCATTTAGGATTAGTACTCTTAATTTATACCTTAAAAATAATGCTGTGCTCTGATTAAAGCAAAATTACTTTATTGATGTCCCATACCAATATATACAATAAATCTCGAGAATACAATTCATATTCTTTTAAAAGATGATAAAATATTGATTTCATAGATGTAAATAATCATCCAAAATTTGCTCTGTATGTGAAGTAACCTGATATATCTGCATGCATAGAAAACTCTGGGGGTCTAGGTCATGATAATGGCAACTATTGGAATAAAGCACACACTGTCAGCCAACCAGAAAGAGAGATGATCAATGAAATCTGCCTGACAGGAATACAGCATCTTAGGAGGTCATTTGTGGAATTGAGGGAGTAGTTTTATTGATTTGAAAAAGTCGTAATGTTCTATACTAGAACAAAGCAGAACTCTGTCAGAATCAAGCAGGGGTATCTAGTGTTGGCTCGTCGACAGCGGGATAAGGAACAGAAAAGTTACACCACAGCATCTACTGTGTTTACACTTCATATAGAAATATTGATGTAGGGGTGATCAATAAACTACTGTGGCCTCTAATCTACCACTGTTACACAGAGCACTAGCTGAATTTTCTGCACTGTAACCGACGTAAGAAGCAGATGAGCAGTTTCCCGATCAGAGCCTCTCCTGCAATATTGATACAATAACGATTGTGTGTCTGTCTGTTTGCCGATATCTGTTCCAATTTTTTTAATCTTTAATATGGAAACCAGATTAGTATTAACCTAATTTTCATGTAGCAAAAATGATTGGTTAAAGGGAAGTCAAACAGTTACAGGAATTCTAATTTAGCTTTCGAAGAGCCTTGAATATCTTTAAGGGGTAATATATAAAAAATAATGTTCATGGTCATAAAAAGAGAGATTTGAATTGGAAAAATTTGAACAAACACACACACCCCTCAGTTCAATGGAGCAACTAGCTAATTAAACCAGAGAAGTTGCATTAGAAGCTTTTTCCTCCTCTTTGCTCTTTGGCTCTAAATCCCCTTCCCCCTGGCTCTAACATCCCCCCTTTGGCTAAGTGTGGGTGGGTGTTTCTCTTCATTTTGTGTCTTGCCTATATCTGCCGTGTGTTGATTGAATTTCTACCATTATTATTTACTTTTTTGTCAGTCCAGTTCACATTATCTGGGACGAAATGATAGCTCTCAGATAAAATTTTTCCTCGGAAATGAGGAAATACCAATTCACAAGATTGTAAGATAGTGTATATGAAATGGAAGTGGAAGAATTGAGATAATCTCTGTATACCGGGTGACAGAAAACTTTTGATTATCATGATTATCCCTAGCAACATATATAGATCATTACTACATTTGTATGATTATGCTTGCAAAAAAAATCCCAAAAAACAAAAAAATACTTACCTCTGAGACATTAGCATTCAGTAGATTCAGTAAAGTGATTTTTCTATTAACAATTTTACTGCGTTATTTTCTTTTGTTTTTGGCATAGCTGAGCTTGATGAATGAGTATTTACAAACAGAACCTTCTTATAAAGTTCTTAACCTCTCTTTGTATTTTTCAGCAAGGATGATGGATTATTGAGGACAATGAATGCAGATAAGGTAAGAGTTACACACAAGGTCCTGATTATAGAATGATTACACACAAGTTCGTGTTTACAGACAAGTTCATGATTATAGACATGGTCATGATTATAGAGTGTTTGGTGGGAGCGGTAACTTGTTATTACAAATTCAGAATGATAAGCTTTGCATTTCTGCCTTTTTTGAGGTGATGAAAGGTAAAAAAGTGACTTTGAAATGTAATATCTTACTTTAAATACTGTAGATCACTTAATTTTCGCGACACCTTATTTTCGCGAGATAGTCATTGAGTCTTGATTAGCGAGACAAATTTTCACACAATTGTGGTTATTGCTTATATAATCTTACACACAATGCTATTACACACAAGAATTTAATTTTTGTGACACACCGTCATGATTAATTACGCGAATAAAAAGTGATTTACATTATTAAAAACATTTGTCTTTTTAATGATGTTGTCATGATGGGTGCCCTAAAAAAAAAACGTATAGGACTAAGGTTGTTTTAAGAGTGCCTAAAACCCATTAAATTGAATTTTTCTGTACAATACATCTTTAGTTATTTGAATACAGTTTGTGCATTTTTTTTTTATTTTTAATGAATGAAACTTGAGGGCAGAATGCTTTAAATTTTATTTTATAATTGAAATTGGTGTTGAATAATGAGACTGATGAATAGCTGAGAGTGTAGTAGCTCATTAAGGTTAATGGGTTAAAGTTGACTGTACATGTATAATTTTAATGCCATTTATAGAACAACAACTTACAAGCAAACAGTAAAGAGAACCTTAATATACAGTCAAACCTCAATATCTGGAAATAATGTGGGACCAACATATCCTTCAAATTTAACAACATTGGTTGAGGCACCAGGAAGACCAAATAGACAACTTCAAAAATACTAAAGATGTGTTGTTTTAATTGATGTATCTATTTTGTAGCTTTTAAAGACCTTACCAGCGCTTCAGAAGCAGTTAGACTCACTGTTAGAATTTGATGTAAGTAAACTGTAAATCTGTCGTATTTGATGTAGTGATACTTTCAATTGATAATTCTGTCATATTTCGTGTCATATTTTTATTGATTTAGCATGGTATTTCTGTAATATTTCATTGTATCAAATTTTAAGGTTCATTGACCTCTGGACAAGAAAGACAACTCACAATGGGATAAACAACTAATAATCCCTATAGAAATTTTCAAATTAAAAGGAAATTTCTTTCAGTTAAGCAACATACTGTACATGTACCATGCTAAAATTGCATTTCAATACCATGTATATTTTAAAGATTTTAATCAGAAAATCATATTCATTAAAGCATAGTTTTATACAAGTGACCAGAGTGGTAATGAATCTTAGGCAGAGAGGATAATTCTGTATTATTTTGATGATTCCTATGTTAAGATTATATACATGTATGTATTGTCTTTGTCTTACAGTGTGCTCCAAATGAGCTTACCAATGGTGTGATCAACGCCTGTTTTCTTCTGATGTTTAAAGACCTGATAAGATTGTTTGCTTGTTATAATGACGGCATCATTAATTTATTAGGTAGGGAATATTGTTAATTTATTGTGTTCCTACGGGACTTTTGATCTACGAGAATTTGCAATAATTTAAAGTTTGTTTCTTATAGGAAAAAAAAATGTTTTTGTGTCTTATATTTTTGTGTCTCGTTTTACCGTAAAATTTTCAATTTAATTTTTATTAGTGAGGGCACAGGATGTGTTTTTGTTGTAATAGTTTCTTTAAGGATTCAATTCTAATATTACTAATACCACAATTTATGTTGCTATTTGTAATTACTACGGTATGTGTATATTACCGGTATTGTATATTTGAGAAATTCTACAAACAAATGTTTTAGCCAGCCAATAGGTAGATATGTACATTTAACTAAGGGAAAAAATTGTGCTTTGTATTTCAGAAAAATACTTTGATATGAATAAAAAGCAGTGCAAAGACGCTCTCGAGATATACAAGAGATTTTTAGTGCGGATGGATAAAGTATCGGAATTCTTGAAAACGGCGGAAGTAAGTCTAAATTCATTTTATTTGTTATCGTTTGTTACTACTGCAGTAAGGGTAGGAGGCTGTAGCTAGATGTCTGTTCCTTTGTCAGAAATGTGACACTGAAACCTCTAGTCTAAAATGACAGAAAAATTTCGTAAGATTCACAGTGAATCACTACACAATAAAACACACTTAAAAAGAAGTACCAAGGAAGGACAACTTTTCTTCTAAATTTTCACTGTAATTTATCATATCCATAAAGTGTTCAAGATATTTTAAATTCTAAGTGATTGAAAATCTCCTCGATATAAGAGTCAATTTATCATAAGCCTGTTCCCTATTAGTTTTACTGTAAATGGTAAAATGTATCTTGAAATTTAATATTTGCCATACTAATACTCTCGTTCAGGGTAAAGTTGAAAATTCAAGACTTTCTGTGTTTATATAAATTTTTAAAAAGTCAGTACATTTTATCATGTTTATGGATTTGTCTAATTTTTGTGTGAATTAATTCTAATTCTTGTGGATGCAAAGAAAAATATGGTTTGCATTTCATGTATCAGTCTACTTGATTTTACCAATTAAGATTTAAAACATTGATTAAACCTGATAAGTAGTAAATTATTGATTTCCAATTACCACACATTTTCTTCCTGTAAATTTTATTTACAGTTATTATTCGGTATCTTTCTTCTTTCCTTCTGACCTAAGTTTTTTTTTTTTTATTATTTTTTCGATGAAAGTCAAATATAATTTTTTTTTAATTTCACTTGACTGTAGGCTATGGAATCTAAATATGGAAAGGTCGTATACAACAAGTCTGTGTTGTATGGTGATCCGCCCAGCCATTTATTTATTTGTTTGGTTTTGTTTATTTAATATTTAAAATAGGATTTGCTTTTATGAAATTTACTTTTTCACAGAATGCTTCAAAAAATCCCCATCAGGTAGTTTTTAGTTGCCATAGCAACTTCATGTTTGCTTTTTTCTTTGTTCATTTTGTATGCGGTTAGCAGAGCCATTAGTTATATATAATCAGAAGTATTGGACGTTCATCATTTCTGTATGATTTCTGGTGACTTTTGAGTCACAAGCTTTATAATGTATTACACTCCTGGACATCTTAACTGCATGACAAACACAGTAAAGAAGAACACTCATCACCAATAATTAATAGGAATTATTTAACATAGGAATATTCAGAAAGTGTGTCTATGTTACAACTTGAATACTGTATACAGGGACATTTTCACCCCTATTTTATTTTTGCCCCTTTCACCCTTGTTGGAATTTAAAACAGGGCAAATTCAAATTACACAGTATTATATCTTAATCAAAAATTTTTTGGGCAAACTTAACACGAGACAAACTTGTTTCCAAATTTGAAAAGACGAAAATAACCCTGTATTCAGTATTTAAATTTGTTGATAATGCAGGAAGAAATTGACAGGAACATTTGGGGATTGGGGTGAAGACATTATTCAAAAGGGTACCAACTACATGAACTATGTCAGAAGGATATATTTTGGGGAGGGGATGGTGGGAGCAGTGTTCTGTTAGGAATAAAATATTGACAGGGTTTATAGCTTACTGCTAATAATCAAGTTAGAGAGAGTCTTATGGAGTGAAGAAGAAGATGCTGAAAGTTGTTGAAAAAGTCAAAGTCATGGAAAATTGGGGAGGGGAGGGGGTAGTTTGTAGAGGTAAAACCATGTGAAGAGGTGATTATCATGGTGAGAGAGTTATGTTATAAACAATACAACATGCACTGATCATACTGATGTACCACTTGTCTGGCTGTGTCAGTAAGACTTTGTCAGTAGGAGGGGGAATAAGGCCAAAATAAAATTATAGTTTGTTTGGAATTGCCTCCCGCCTCATTGAAATGCCCCCTCCTCAAAAAATTTTATTGATCAAAAAATACAACATGCACTGATCATACTGATGTACCACTTGTCTGACTGTGTTTTATCAAAAATTTAAAATAAAAAAAAAAAATTTCCCTCCCTCCCTCCTGTGTCTGAAACCCTTCAGGCGGCAATTCCAAACAAACAATTTTTTAAGGACGGCCTAAGTACAAACAATACAACATGCACTGATCATACTGATGTACCACACTGCTTTGTCCACACTGCTTTGTCTGATGTTTTTACTGTTTTACATTAATTTTAAGAAAGTAATAAATGTGTGATATAATTTGTGGGAAGTGGAGGGTTACAATGAAGGAGAGGCATGGTCATTATTTCTTTTTCTCAGAACATTCTTCAAACACTTCTCTCTAGTTATAAATCAACAGTTTTTATTTGTGTCTTCTTTCAAAGTGTACCTAAATTTTCTGTTATTTGATGCATGCCACTCTTGGATTATTTTGAAGTGTTCAAAAATTTACTACAAGGATTGATAAACAGAGGATCTATTCAACTATATATTAATGTTTAAAGCTTTGCTTTATGTATTGTTGCTAAATTTGTTCTGTCTATTTTTAGAGTGTGGGTATTGACAAAAGTGACATACCAGACCTGGCTAAGGTGAGTCTCAGGTGAAAACAGGTAAAATGTGATCAAAATGCCATGTATAGAAACATAGCAATGTCTGTAGTATAGGGAGACTGAAAGGAAAGCTGAAATGTTTCAATTTTAGAAATATTGCATTATCTGTAGATTTATTTCAAGCTTATTACAAAGAGTTTTTTTTTGAAAAAAACAAGCAACATGAAAAAAGCAATTCATTATCATTTTAATTGTTTTTTCATGAATATTTCATAAATATTGAAAGTTTCATTTCGATTTTATATAATTTATTATCTAAAACACCACTTAAAGGAAGAAGAAGATGGTACCACTGTATTTCAATAGCTTAAAATATTGTAAAAGTTGGAAAAATCAAAGTTACATGACTTGTGTTATGTTTATTGAAAATGTCCTAAACGCCCGGGTGGATGTTTATTTTTACAGTGTAGGGAAGAACAGAAGAGAATTCCAGAATTAATAATTATAACCTGGCAATAAAAAAATAATGATTTTGCCATAACTCCAGAAAAATTTTTTTGGTATAACTCAAGCCTTGTTGTAAGGATCTTGATTTGGGAAATTCATTGACCTACTTTTAGTGAGTGACAAACTCTCTTTGTCTGTCTGTCAGTGTCAGTCTATAGCTCTGTTTCTTTCCTCGGTAGGGTTTGAGGAACAACTCTGTAAGTGATTAATGTAGATTCTCACTACAACATTAAGGCTTGTGTATGTAGGCCAGGCATGTATGAATTGTGACTGAGAAACAGTGTCTATTTAATGGTTCCACTAAATCACCTCAAATCATAAAACTCTGTCATGGTTCGAACTGTGAACGAGAAACTGTGTTTCATCTTAATCACCTCAACTCTTAAATCTCTGTCACAAACTGACTCCTCCACCATGGGAACGTATCCTGACATAATCATTATTTTTAACATTGTTTTCAGATCATGTTCATACAGTGTCCCATGCCCTGCAGTCTAACACCACTCTCATATCTAACCATTCTATTACAGCACCATTATTTCTCCGATGTGTACCCAGTCATAGTCATGTAATAAACTAACCCTGTCTGCCTGTGATAGTGATTAGGTTACGTATAGGCAGAGGAAGGGGGCTATCAGATGTGTACCAAGTCATGTAAACAATATACAGTTAAAGTATATCATTAAGGGAGTTAACAAGATTCCAGTTCCCTATGACCAGGACTATTTCCCGGGGCGCAACGCACTGAGGGAAATAGTCCTGGTCGAGGGGAACTGGAATCTTGCTAACTCCCTCAACGATATACTTCAACTGTTTTATTATACCGATACAAATGTAAATTGTAAAGATCACCTATTTAAAAAAATTATTTACAGATTAACTAATCATTATTCCTTGCAAATACCAAATTAGAAGACAGTTATTCCCTAATTCTAATGCAGTCATTGCATTTTGTTGTTTACGTCTTATTTTGTTGTGTATTGTTATATGAATTACGTCACGAAGCATTGTGTTTTTGCATAGCTCTATTATGACGTCACAATCAAAATCTGTAAACGTTAATTAGCATTACTAGCTTTCGGCCTAGGGATTAGCTCAAAAAAACTAACACATGGGGATTAGCTGATTCAAAGTGATTTCTAGGTAATAGTTCAGATCTAATCACTTAATTTTATATAGGGAAAAATCAGTAGACGTATAATAACAGTGACTAACCCTGTTTATCTCTGATAGTGATTAGGTTAGATTGGGGAGAGGAAGGGGGAGGGGTGTTTCTGTAAGTGTATACAATAATCTTAATAATCATAAAGGGGCATCAGATTCTGTAATTTAGAGGCCAAAGTCAGATTCCAGGATATAATCTTCAAAAAAACAAAACATACATTTTATGATCATCATCAGTTTTATCACCAGCACATTTTGTTTTTTGATGATGTGTAGGGACAGGCATGGTATGAATATCTGTCATTAATCTGTTAATTGTGTCTTTGTTTTTTTATAACACCCTGTTTTTTGTATTTCAGGAAACTCAGGTCAGATTTACGATTATCTGAAATACTCAAATGTCTTTCTCTAGATCTTATTCTAAGAAGCGTTTGCAGCAATGTTTACTTTACTGCTAGGTAGCATGACAATGTCACTGACACCGAATCATTAACGTGATTTATATCAATTAAATATTAATTAGTCAATCATACCAATACTTGTAAATATTTTTAAAAGGGCTTAGGCATCCAGTTATTTTTGTATATTTGTTTCAATTTCATGAAGGTATTAATTAAATTGCTAAAAATCTTATCTAGCTTGATTTCATGTAAACTAATGTTTCTGTAGTAGTCCAACATGGAATCTATATTTTGATTGGAGGTTCAATTATTAAGGCTATTGTGGGTACCCCTTTAAAACTTTGAGAAATATTTATAGGTATAGGATTAAATTTATTTAAAAATAAAATGGTGCCCCACAAATTAAAATGAAATATCTAGGTAACACTGATATTAAAATTGGCTAATACAAACAAGTTAGAAGTTGACCTCGTGACCTCATAGGAGCTAGGCTGTTCATAGGCTAGTGCTGATGTGGTGAAGGTAGCAGTCCACACTCAATTCAACTTTATAGGATGAAAAACAGAATTTGTTAAAAGAATTTCATGTAATTTTATCTTACAAAGCTATAAAATTCTGAAGACAAATTGTAAATGTTCATTTACTTCGTGTTCTTGGCATCTTTGTTTCTGTTATTCAAGCTTACATTAAAATGAACATGGCGTTTTGATCATGGCATGCAAGCTTTATGACTTTATTCTTTCTAAGTAACAAATATAAGCAAATAAAAAAAATATTGCTTTTACTGTGATTGCATACATATTATCACCAAGCAGTGAAAAAAGTTCAACATGCAAACAAGTGATAAACTGGGTTATTTTGAATTGGGTATCATATTGATAAATCTTAGCTCTCAACTTGATTGTGTTTGAATTTCTCTGTGACTGCAGGTTAATTAATTAATTAGTTTATGTTAATGATTCAGGCCCCCTCCAGTCTCCTTGATGCCTTAGAGCAGCATTACCAGTCACTAGAAGGAAAAAAAGGGGTGACAACTCCAGTCAGCGGCTCCAAGTAAGTATCACAGTCATCTCAAGTAGGACAAATTCTTATAAGGTTCTCTTATTACTAAATACCGCATAAGCAGAATTTTTAGCGAGGATTTAATTTTGGCATAATAAGCGAGGGTGCTGAGATCACTAAAATTGAATATCGCTAAAAATTAACGGCGTTTTAATTGTAACGGCCTCTTTAGTGAGATTTTTGATATTGCTAAAAATACTTCTTCCTAAGAATAAAATATTTTTAAAGACAAAATCGCTAAATTTGTGTTTCGCTAAAATTTCCACTTATACGGTATCATAGAGATAATTACCACTGTATTGTAGATGTTTTATAAATGTGTCTATTGCAAAGCTTCTCAAAGTCATCAAAAATTTTCTTCCCTGTGGCTCATATATTTTGCACTCAAGGGATATAAGGAATTATTGTATGGAGGGAAATGTTTGCCCCCATTTTATTTTAGCCCTCTCTTAATGATTGGGCAAAGAACTATATGCGGTATTAACCAACATTTGCCCCCCAAAATCAAACTTTGATGGAGTAATATTTAATTAAGTCCTTAAACAGGGGAATATGACTTCAAAGCACTGAATAATTTCATAAGTAATGATTTTATGTACATAATGACGTCAATAAAAAATTTCAGTTTTTTATGAATTTTGTAAAAAATGTATATAACTGATATTTTAAAAGATGTGTGTTCACATAATATTTTGATATAATGTGTAGAATGATAATATCAAAATATGTCAATATTGTCCTAACACACATGCGCTAGGTTCTAAAGAAATTGTTGAAATTTTGTCCATTTTGTCCTCTTTCTGAAAAAGGATATAAAATCGGAGTTTTAATAAAAACAGAAATTGTGAATACACTGCTCTGGAACTATAATATTTCCTGTTAACTTATATTTCTCGTACAATTTATTGAATTCAGCACATTTCAGGAAGTTTTCAAAATTTGATTTTTGTGGGGGCAAACATATGCAATATACCGCATATAGTTCTTTAAAATTCAAAGAACACAGCATAATAATTTCTTAAACAGAACTATGACAGGGTGAATTTAAAATGATTTTTTTCTGCTAAAAAATTATATGAATTCCCTGTAAATTGTATATAACTCCCCAAAAGATCATTTATAAAAAATCAAGTTTAAAACAAAATTGTAAAGAGATGGTAGATGATGCAATGTTCCAGTCTAGACTGTTTTAAATAGATTTAAAAAATCAGATGGCAAACAGATTGTAAACAATGATTTTCCTGGCATTCAGTTCAATAATTTCCAATCTGAGCTCAGCCAAACTGCCCTCGTTCTGTCTGTTCCTTTTAAGTTAGTTTGTAATGCTATCTGTTACAGTTTCTGTCCGTTCCTTTAGATCCGTTCCTTTAGATTGTAAATGCTATCTGTTACAGTGTTTCCTTACCAGCGTAAGTATGATTTGTGATTGATAACTGAAATCAGAAGGGGAGGCAATTTCTGCTGTGTCTTATACTGTGTGTGGAGTTATCCTTCTTTGTCAATTGCGTAGTAACCTTATTAACTTAGGTGTTCTATATCTGTTTTCATGGATCATCATTATCAAATTTTCTAAATGCATCTCCAGATTCATACAATTGAAAGACATTGTATCTTTCAAGGAGAAATGATTGAGTAGGAGATAGTAATTTCCCAAAAAATGTTTGGATCATTTCAGAATTATATCAGAATACAGGGTTCCAAACCAACAAGTTAATGTGCAATCTGTTCATGCACTCCAGTACAACATCAAAGGGATTGGGTTAGGGGAGGGGAGATGGCAATGCTTTGAAATGCATGGCAAAATTCAAAAAAAAGGAAGAAACATTTTCTAATTATTATGAAAATATCCTCAAGTAGTGTACTGTAGAACACTAAATTTTCGCAACACCTTATTTTCGCGAGATAGTCATTGACTCTTTATTAGCGAGATATAATTTTCACGAATTGTTGTTTTTTTCTCTATATAATTGTAGGGAATACTTTTAAACGCGAGAATGAAATTTTCGCGAGCTCATTGTCTCGCGTAATTACGCAAAAATAAAGTTCTCGCGAATAAAACGTGATTTACAGTATTAGCATTAGCCAGCTGTTTGGACCAAGTCATTTGAGTTCTGAAGTTTTATGGAAAAAAAAGACGTGACTGTCTTCTTCCTCTTTATAACAGTGTAACCCTCACTCAACTATTTAATGATGTAAATAAACTCTAGCACTGGGAAGTGGCTGTTTTTATTTCCTGAAATCTGGCACTAAGAACAAGTTAATGTCCTTTCTGTCTTCATACACAGTAACTATTGATGTTTCATTTTGTGGACCATTTTGCAGTATAATAACTCAGTGAGTGATTTGGAACTACATTTTGTTCATTTCTCTAATGGAAGGAAAGTCAAATTCTTTCTTTCTTTGCCAATTAAGATTTAAATATCATAATTTTTCCCCCATAGATTAAACTTGGGGCTCTTGCACAAAATATAGCTGGTTGCATACCTAATTGACCTGTAATACAAATATTCCAATAATACAGTGAGAGTACATGAGAAATGATTAAATTTGTAGGCCGGTGGGTTTTGCAGCAGCAATTAGCACAATTTCTAATAACACACCAACAATAAATGTCTCGGAGGAGGAACGTCAGCGAATCCTGGACGAGGAAAACGCCCGCCTCCAACAGCTCAAGGTAGACAACTCCTCCTATAGCTACGGCTTGTTGTTTTGCTAGTTGCCAAAAGTTATCAGTGCATTTTGTCTATTTTCTTTGTTTCATTATTTCAAAATCTGTTGTTTTTATTAATTCCTTACAAAACTAAAGTTAATACAAATATCAGTGGGTTGGAATTCATCGCATCAAAATTTAATTTAAAAGAATGTGATACAACTAACTCTTAACTTTTTGTTGTTGATATGATTGTGTATATTTTAATCTGTTTTTGTTGGCTAATAGTTCATACTCGTATTTTTTCTTTTTTTTGGGGGGGGGGGGGATAATTTTTTTTATTAAATTTTTTTGCATGTATAAAGCTTGATTAATTGAAACAGAAAGCATACTAGATATTATTATTTATGATATACAAAAATTACCAGCTAGATTATGTTAATTATGGAAAATAAAACCAAAGCAGGCTGATATCATTAAACACTGGAACATGAAAGTGAACAGAAATTTATTTAACATGGAAGACAGTTTCCAATATATGTCTCTGCTTTGTGTTTTTTTTCCAGTTAAAGGAATCTTGTCGGAAAAGCTAGTGAAACACTTTCCAGTCAAACCAATCTCATTACAGTCAAATATAAATAAATAATTATATTATTTAATTATGATATATTTAATGAATTTGAATTGCTTCCTTTGGTTTGATTGGTTAGTAGCCAGCCTATACCTATATTTGATTGGTTACTGATGATCCTTGTTGCATTTGATTGGTCAGTGGCTTCCCTGACTGATTGCTGTAGTGTGCATGTTGTTATGCTGATGTCTTTTTTCTCTTTCTTATCCACTCCTTCAGAAGGAACAGCTTGGCAAGAGCACTGCTGACTCTCCAATTAAGGTAATACTTCCTGTTTAAGACAAGGGACACAAAAGGGGTCCTCTCAACAGCTGATCAGAATATCAAGCAAGGGGTCTTCTCATCAGCTGTTTAGATAATGTGAAGCGGTTTGTTGGTCTTCTGGTTTAGAAAGATTGAAATTGAATTAAGTTTTCTTTTCGAGGAATGGAAAAGTGAAAATAATAGAATTAGAATTACTAAAGAATATCAGAAGATAGCAGTAGTTTTGTGCTTCAATGTTCTATGGTAATTTCTCCATTCTGCTGGAAACTGCAGTAGAATTTAGTGTGATATGAGTGATAGATTTAGACACCTGTGTAGTGCTGTAGTCGAGTTAGTGTAACAATCAGGCAGGTAAGGACCTACTCTACACGTGTATCTGTTGTGAACTGTGCATGTTGTACTTAATCATATTGATTTAATCTAATTTTAAGAATTACAGTAAAGTTTTATAGGATTCATTTTCAATGTTTTGAATAATATGTAGAAAAAATAAATTAACTGTAATGTGTCTCACTTTATGTCAAATTGACACCAGTATAATGTAAAAGACGATAGTATTCTGATATCAGTTTTGTGATCATGGTGTATTATTATTTCCTGTAGGAGCAGAGACTAAAGGAGCTAGGGCAGTCTCCGCAGACCCCCTCCAATAACCCATTCACCACCCAGACACAGAACGGGACCAGTGATCTGCTGGGGTCCCCCTCTAAGTCGGCCCAGCCCCCCTCAGCCAGCGACGACCTACTCAGTCTCACGGGGAACCCTTTTGTTCAGAACGTACAGAACGTCATGGCCATGCAGACGGCGACACAAGCCATGAGTCAACCCAACTCCTTTGCCCAGTGGAATAATACACCGAATCCCAGCATTCCTGGTAAGGTCACTGAGAGGTCACATTCAGAAATGTAAGGGATTCCCATAGGCAGAGTTCTCGCTCTCATCCTATGCTGTCTAACAAATTGATATCACAAAGTTTTTTTCTTCTTATTGCATCAAAAAGGACAAGATCCAGCTTTATAAACCTTTATCCCAAGAGCATGTTGTACTGTATCACACTCGGAGCATGAATTTCCCATCCTTTATTTCATTTAAGATTTACTTATTGATTAATTAAATTAAAACAAGTCTCTAATATAGAGTTGTCGGTAGCTGGTTTTGATTGGTTAATTCTAATGACTTTGTGTTGATTGGTTAATTCTGATGACTTTGTTCCTTGCTAGCTACGAGTGGTTTGTTCACGTCCGATGCCGATTTTGAGAAAGTGTTCCCAAACCAATCCACCACCACATCTACGGGTATGGTAGTCCTTTGAGCATGCTCAGTCTTGGTGGTCATTAACAACACAATGCTAACGACAGTTTTCTTGTTTTGTTTCTGTGTATAACACCTCACACTGCTAAATAGTTTGGAATGGGATTTTTTTTTTTAGAGAAGTATTTACCATTTTTTTTTAAATATAATATCTTAACACTTCTTTGTTTGGTAATATCTGTCTGTTGTTATTTGTACGTGTTGAATGTTTAGGCTTGTAGTGACTTAGGGCCAATTGAATAAATTAGTTCTCCATGTTATATATACAGTATCAAGTGATCCAGCTTCCTTTTGTGGCTGGTCTCCTGCATGATTTTGTAAATAGAACTTGTTTGAAGATCCCTCAAGGATTCTGCCGTATTAGGTTGCCTTGAATCTCAAAAATATGGAACATTTTAAGTTAAGAGCAGTGAAGGTTTCACAGCACTGAAACTGGGAAAATCTTCAACTCAGGAGGGGATGGAGGATAAGGAAGTCAGAAACTATAAACATGATAAAACCTCAAAACATTTTGGATTTCTTGTGTTCTGAAGACGACTTTATTGCTGTAAATGTCCATTTGGAAAAACAGTACCACACTCTAATAGGGAAAATGAATCCTATCTTGCATTGAGATTGGGTTCAGAAACTTATTTAATATCAACAATTAGTAGACCTGACTACATCCCATTGTTAAAAAAAAAAACCTGTAAAGGTATGTTATATTACAGGGAAAGTTGGATTAGAAGATTATAATACAGGGAAAATTGTTATTTTGAGATTAGAGGACACAGAAAATTGGATTTATTTACTAGATGTTGTATAATCAGTCTGATTTTGTAGTAATTTACAGAAGGTTTTACATACTGTAGATCACTTAATTTTCGTGACACCTTATTTTCGCGAGCTAGTCATTGTTTCTTTATTAGCGAGATAAAATTTTCACGAATTGTGCTCATTGCTCTATATAATCTAACGAAATTCTATTATTCGAGAGAATGAAATTACCTAATTACGCGAAAATAAAGTTCTCGCGAATAAAAAGTGATTTACAGTACATGAGATCCATTGCTTCAGTTTAAATGATTTCATGTTGTATACTTTTTCAGTTTTTTTCCCTTTGATTGTTTGGTTGCACAATTATAAAATATACTAACAAAGCTTATCTATTTATTGCATGCATACCAAATCCCCATGCCATTGTGATAAATGTGTACATTCAATGATAATGAAACAGAATTTAAGCAATCTTGAACAAAAATATGAAATTAAAAAAAAAAACACCTTTGTTTGAACCAACAGTGTTTGAGATTAAAATAATTTTCTTCTACTATTTTAATTTTTGATTGAGGAAAAATAGAAATTGAAGAACAATGGCATGGAGGGGGTGTGCGATTAATTCCTAACTGTCTCTAACTGCATGTTTTATTTACTGTCTGTCTGTAGGCCAACTAACCGATGCCACGGGTCTCTTAGTGCCCCAGACTCCACAAAAACCAGGTACTGTTATAGATAGAGTGTACTGTAGAAATGTAACCAGCTACTGCTATATACAAACTGCACTGTAGCAAATTATGCAACACAAAAAAACAACCTTCAAAGCTCTCTCTTTTACACTAAACTAGGTCAAAATCTAAACTAGTTCAAAATCATATACTTGTGATATTAAATTTACAATAAACAATTGAAGAACATGTATTTCCAGAAAGTCATGACCTCACCTTATAAATGGCTTCTTGATTATACAAGCTTATTGTGCTTTCTGAAGTCTTGTATCTTGATTTTAAACAACATTATTAGAGCAGAAGGTCAGATATATAAGGGAAGTAACTGACATTTTGTATGCATAAGGGAGATAACTCTACATTGTTTTGTTTGTTCACACTGCCAGACCTGCTGTCTCAAGAGGACACTCTAGAATCTCTAGATCCCCTTAAGCCCACCTCCCAGTTGTCGACGGTAACCACCAATAGCGGGCTGGCGTCCGGGGGGATCTTTAGTGTGGATTGCGCTGTAGAAGACAACACATCTCTGTTGTCCTCCTTTGGGAGTTCTGACGTAGCAGGCCTCGCTTCCTTTGGGAGAGGAACAAACGTCCAGGGAGCTGGTTGTCCCAGTCCTACCATTGGAAACATCGGTTCTGTAGGTGGTCCCAGTCCTACCATTGGAAACATCAGTTCTGTAGGTGGTGCAGGAGCCACGGCGATGGGAACCACCTCAGGTTTACTCGATTCCTCCTCCATACCACTCAGTCTACAGTCACACTGTCAAGTCTGTTGTTATCAGTTTTAATTTCTGGATAGAACTTATGACTTGTGGTATGGGGGAGGTTCTGTCAGTGGGTGTTTAGGACAGTTCCTTTTGTTTTGTAGGCACATGGTAGTCAGAATTATCTCTGGTTTCACTTTCTTTTTAGTCCCTGTATCTGAGTTTTAGTATTGTGATTTAGTGTAGAGAAACATTTTATGGATGTTTTTCTGATTTTTTCTGTAGAGTTTGATATAATCTTTTATTTCCTTCTTTATTTCGATTTATAAGCACAGCTGGATGTCTTCTGTTTCACTGAGTGATAAATTTCTAGTGGTACACTTTATTTCTTTGTTAATGACCCTGAGATAGATAGGGTCAAATGATTTCTCAACAGAAAATAATTGCAGCTGCAGCATATGTGAAATATTTTGTTATATTAATATTCTATTGAAATGTTTTGGAATGAAAGGACTTTTTAAGATCTTGAGAAGTTTAATATTTCACTGTTGCACTTTTATCTAGTTTTTGTGAGCAAGTTTTTCACATTGACATTTTGTCCCTGCATAAGCTTTGACCTCTGACCTTATATGTATTTCAGGTATGATAGATGTAAACTAGAAGTTTTGTGTTCAGAAGAAGTCAGAATATTGAAATATTTAACTTCAGCATTTATTATCACCAAGAATGATTTAATTTATCCTTTTACTCTCAGTTTTATTTTATCATGTCCAAGATTGCAAGAAGATAATTTCTAATTTTCAATTCCATTTAAAATTTAGTGAACTCGATGGAGTTTTGATTAATTGATGTCCTTGATATGACCCCAGTACCATGCAGATAAGTGAATATTTTAAATGAGGACTAAATCTCCCTCCATTTCTAAAATAAGGAGTTGATTGTTTTCCACTGAAATTTTGTTCACTTAAGAGAATGATTTCAACTTCCTTGTTATTATATTGTAGATGACATGTTGTTTTGTGTGGAGAGTTTGGTTCTGTTAGTTGTGTGTGTGTTTGTTTGTGACCTAAATCTTTGTTGTGATTGTTAGACTTGTGTTAGAGACATTAAAATATCCATCTGGTTCCACTTTCAGTCTACTCTGGGCCACCAATGCCTGCTAGTCCAGGTCAGTTCACAACAGAATTCAATCAATTACTAATTGTGTACTCCAGATAATACACAGATAAGACACTGCAGCTATACTGTTGGAACTAATATTGATCTGTTTTCATTGTGTTTTCTAATTGTGTTGATTGTTTATGAAATGAACAGGTTGTTAATTTGTTTAATTGTTCATTATTCTATTGATTGTGATACTAACATCCACCGAAGAGTGAATCAACTTGAGTTTTGAAGTGATTTTAAAATTAGATTGAAATGTTTTGCTTTACAATAGCCCTCCAGCACAGAAGCTTGACTCCTACCTTTAAAGATTCAGGTATCAACTGATTCTATAGTGTTATATATTGATTTCATAACAAAGTGGATAACAATTATTGACTCATGCAGTGCATCTTCCACAGAAAATGTGAAATTGAAAGTAAAAAGTCAATGTTTTTTAAGTGTTCGTAACTGGATTTGTTTGCTTACTAACTTCAAGAGTTGACTTGACTCTGTTGCCTTCTACAGCTCCAGGACGTGTAAGCCCCGCCCTTGTTTCCACTGACCAATCAGGTGATCAATCAGGCTGTCAATTTCAGTTTCTCCACCCACTGGGTTTTCTTTGATCCTTTGTTGTTTATTACTACATATAGTTGCCTTCTTTTCTTTTGTAGTTTTGTTTCAGGTTTGAGTCATATTTTATCTTATAGTTTTAAAGCCCAGTTTTAGTAGTTAGAAAGTTACAACTTTTGATTATTTTTTAACCTTCTTTATTGAGCAGTAATTTACATTTAATGTATAAATTTAATTAAGTGCGCCTATGTATTTTTAATATCAGAAAACTCTATTTCTAAAATAAATTTCAAAATAGAAATGACTTTTTTCTCATTTTACAAAAAAATGTTTTCTTTATTAAAAATCAATTTAATGATGAAAATCATCATTTTTAAAAATGCATTTCAATCACACCCCTGTGTTTAATTATAAATTTAATGTAAGTAAAAATATTCCGTCGTAGAAATGTATACATATATATTTATATATTCACATATTTTTCTAAAGAGTTTTTAATCACTAGGTTTATAGAGAAACAATTTCAGTAGCTCCTATTAGGAATATGTGTATTTTCCTCAAGTTTTTCGGGAAAAAAATCTTTCTTTAACATGTTTACAGTTCATTGACAATATTTTGTTGAAGTTTACCTTAAAATTTTACATTTTTTGTGAATGCAAAAATTTTATACAGTGGTTTTTTTTTTACTGAAATAAAAATTGATATTTCAAATCCTTCTGCTTGTATTGTCACTGTGTGTATAGCTTAATTTGAGTGTTTTGTCATCTTCTTGCTGTAGGATTTGATGCTTTTGGTGAAGTCTTAAAACCAACAGCCACTGTAGACGGGGTGAACAACACAAGGAATGAAAAACTCATCAACAAAGACCTCGACTCCAGTCTCTCACAACTGGCGGGCAACCTTAATATCAAAGGCTCAGGGTCACAGGTCAAAAAGTAAGTCAACATAGGTCAAAGGTCGTGATCTGGACTGCATGTAGAAGGAGACGGAGTGTTAATTTGCATAGTTATATAGGGAAAAAATTTGAGACTGGAGACTCACTTCGAGAGATCAAGAACCTTGAGAGATCGAATTTCGAGTCATCAAGAGTTACCTGTATATACATATGGACATTTATATTTCAGACAACAGCATGACTGGCAGCCAAAGGGTGAGCAGAAGAAGACGGGGGGTCAGAACTGGCAGGGAGTGACCCCCGGGGTATCGTCCACCACCTGGACCACCCCAAGCTACGGTCAACCCATGGTAAATAGTCAGCCCAATTTGACTAACCAGTCTACCATGGTTAACTCTCAGCAGCCTGTGGTAAATATTGAGACACTTCGTGGTCTGCCGTGTTGTCACTGGTGCTTCTTTGAATTCTGTGGCCTGCCATGTTGTCATCACAGCTTGTTTGAATTCTGTTACCCGGGATTTTTTTTCACCTGACCCTGTAGAGTTTTGCACTCGGTGATCTTGTAAACACATGCTTCAGTCCTATTTCAGTCAAAATGCCATGTTTTATCTTCAAAATTGACATTATTAGTAAATTCAAAATCTTTTAAAGCATATATGAAATTAAATCACTATGGTTAATTTTTATCCAGCCTACATGGATTTTTTTTTTCCAATTTTTGAAATGTGAATTTTTATAAAATACTGATAATTGGACTGGGGTAGGTTTCAAATTTCTTGCTTTTTGTTGTTCTATCACCATGACAAACAAATTGAGTTAAAGTTTCTTTGCTTTATATTGTCACATCACAAAGACAACCAGAATGGGTTGAAGATGCCTCACTTTACATTCCGTCACCATGACAACCAGAATGGGTTGAAGATTCTTTGCTTTATATTGTCCCAACACCATGGCAACCAGAGTGTGCTTTATGTTCTCAGGCTAATATGGCCAATAATGACAGCTCTCTTCTTTTTAAGAATTTTGTTAGCTTTCATATACTTGCTAGCATAATAAATTAATGAACCTTAACTTTATTAATGAAAGTTCAATTAAGAAATACACAAGAATGTTAAAAAGTTCAATAAATCAATCTGCCCGAAGGGCTTCTCGGTAGTAACTTTTTAACATTGTTGTTTATTACTTATATTTACATTTGAAACGAATACATTTTGAGTTAAATTGTATTTATTAAACGAACGGGCCAACGAATTGCTATGTAGTGACGCGCAATAACCTAGAAGTTGTTTGGTCAAAATATCACATCGCTCTGTAATCCAGTCGCGCTATGACCTCTGACCCCCAAATGAAATTCACATAGAATTGAACGTATTTTCTTTTCAATAGGTTCATCTAAGAAAGATATTTGCAAATGTAAATATCAATCAATAAATCAATCTGCAGTAATTCAATCAATCAATACATTGATTAGTCCATTAATTGATTAACTGATCAGTGAAAATTACTTTGAGTACCGTAAATCTGGAAATTTTTGCTGTAGATAAATTTTTAGCAAATTTGCGAGTTCATTGCATTCGCAAAAATATTTTTCTTAAAAATAAATTACCAATAAAAAATGTAAACAAAGCAGTGGTAATTCGCAAAATTTTGAAACGTAAAAATTAATCAACACCATTTAGACCCGAATTCGCAAAATAAAATCGACGTAAAGAATTCCAAATTTACGGTATATGCCGTTGGTAGTCCATAATGAGATTTGCCTGTGGAGGATGACCAGAGAGGACAGAACCTTTCCCTGTGCATTGTCAGTGTATAAAATAGTTGTTAGGTATTGTAGCCAAGTAAACGTAAGTCAGATAGAAATACATCAGACCTATCAGATATATAGGCTTTTTATTGTCCCATCACTGGTCAGCAGTGTTTGGGTTGACACACCACTCTCTCTCTCTTTCCCCCCAGCCTTGCCTTCAAACCCTCTGTTGTTCACTTGTTTTCTTTAAGTTTTTGTAGATTTTTGTTTCTGATTGCATTGATTTGGTAGATAATGTGTTATGGTTTTACACTATAACTTGTGAATTATTGTAGTAAGCACTGTAACATAGATAAATAATTTTACAAAATGAACCTGAAATGCTGATAAGGAACAGTTTCTGTCATTAACTAAAATAATTCTCACGAATTGTTTTGATGTATTATGTTAAGAGATGATAGACTAGACTACATTGACAGAGTTACATATAGCTATAAGGTTTTTATGGTTTTAATATTTATAGATGATGGCCCCTGTTATGGGATATGGTGTACAACCAATGATGCAGGTAGGAACTTAACTGTAGATTCCTTATTTTTATGTCAGCACTTGATAAAGTGACCTTTGAATGTCAAATCACAAAAGCAAAATGTTGCAAAATAGATGCAAAGATTTTACATGGATTTCAGAACCATAAAAATAAAAGCAAGTAAATTTTTTTTTCGTTATTGATGATTCTTTTGAAATTATGCAATAATTCATTCCTAATATGTATATTGGGCATCTACAGTATTCAGATGAAGACTTTTTTTTTACAGTTGCTGCTTTTATTTGATCTTTTTATTTTCACCTTTAATCAGAGTTTGATTAATCTTGAATGATTTGTATGAACTACTTTACTATTACCACATTTAATATTCAAGCAACCAGGTATGATGGGCATTAGACCAATGGGTATGCAACCAGGGATGGGAATGCAACCTGGCATGGGGATGCAGCAACCCATGGGAATGCAGCAACCGATGATGTACGGAATGCAACCTGGCATGGGAGCCATGATGTCACAGCCACGCCCACCTGCACAAACCAATCAGGATCCATTTGGAGCATTATGAAAATTGTCATGTTATATCCATCATTCAGGTATTAAAAAAGAAAATTGGGGCTGGTCAGTTTCTTCAAACTGAACATTAGAATTAGTGGTTTGAGGGTAATGTAGAGATATAATACAAGATGTCATCTTTCCACAGTTAAATAATTTATGGTGAAAATTTTCCATAGCACAGAATTTTCTTCTTTCATACATTACAGTGTTCAGTTTATTATCTTTAGTTCTAGAAAGACTTATTTAGTATTACCATAGTGTATTTTTTTTTTTCAGGAAGAGACTTAGTCGTGTGAGTGTTTGTGAACCAGATTAGGGCAGGGAACAAGTGTATACATCATTGCCATGGCAACCATGAACTTTTACATTCCTACTCAAATCCATATCTGATCTATGCACATGAAAAAAATGGCTCTCAAATATGGCTTTATCCAAAAACAGTATACTGTATGAAAGGTCAAGGACATAATTATGTAGCATGACCTCTGACCTACCAGTACTACAGTAACTGTAAACTACATAGAAACTCGTAGAACCAGAGGCCAGCTAGTCATTCAGTTGTGCAATTGTGAGGAGGCCATTGTAACGGTTTTGTTAATCTCATCCCCTGTGTCTGAGAGAGTGTGAGCTGAGAACCCAAATCACGTCATTGTGTTACAGTCATGTCAGCAAGTCAAAATCACGTGTATATAATTACAATGTTACTGCGTAGTCCAGAAGTCAGCATCACACACAACAGAAGTGTTAGTCAGGAGAGAAAGAGAGAATGGTTGTGCTTTTATTCTGTTGGCATGGTAACTGTTACCATGGCTATGTTTATGCCATGACCTCATACTTTTCTACTGCACATTTAGGTTGTTTGTTTCTGAATTGATTGCAGATCTAGATGAAGCCAGCATGTTAGGTTTGAAGATTGTTTACAACAATGTATTTAAATCAAGTAGTAAGCTGTAACAAGTGATGGATGGTCATTCATTTCTGTTATAAACTCTCGTATTGTGTGAGTGCTAAACAAATTCATTGTTATCATTTTTTGTTGCAATGTTTATCCTGTGTTATACTGGTATAAATGGAAATATTAATGTTAAGTTTTAGTATAATGGTGCCCAAAATACATTAAAATAATATTAATATATACACATATTATTCAATGTTGTAAAATTATTTAGTGGAATGTACTTTATGTAAATATCAATATTAGGAGAATTGTTGGTGAATTTTAAATTGATGTCAAAATGTGTTGGTCACTCCAATATAGAGGTCATGGTCAGTTTTAGATGACTGTGGCCGTTTTCTGATCCCTCAAATGTAGTTTGGACTCTTACAAGTTTTAAGGTAGCGCCTTAGTGGTCCTAGTTCCTTCATTATGCAGAACTTCAATTATCTGTGATTGTTTATTAGCACAGACACCTGTATCAAAGAACATCAACCCAGACACATTCCAGACAGTCACAAATCTTACACTTGATTAATTCAAATGTTCTACAGAAACACAGAGCCATCCTGGATTTGGTTTATAGCTATTACCACTGTTCTTAATATGTATAGTTTGGATTTCCATGTCAAAATCTGGGAGAAATTTGTAGTGTGGACTCCCTACAATTAATATAGATAAAATGTCTTATTAGAATATAGTAAAACGAATCCAATTTAAAGCAAATAGATTGTCATAATGAATTCCAGTTTTTTGTGACATATTTGGCCATGATTTCTTAAGCAAGCAAATAAATTGTAACAGAAGAAGTAAAACTAAGTCAAGTGAGTGGAAATTCCACCACAACTTCTGTCTAAACAATGCATGAAAACATTCTGACTTTATTTCTGACAAATGAAAAATGACCGATGCTGCCATAATAAATGTGATATTTTAGGATCTGTTTGAGAACTTTTGTACAGAACTATAGCAAGTTTCGTTCAGATCTGTGTGAGAACTTTTGTAGAGAGCTGTAAGTTTCTGTTGATCAGATGTAGTTGCTCTAGACACAATAAACTCATTCTGCATCTGGGAAATTTGTTCATTCTCTTTTTGGTTGGGAGGTATTTAATGTGTTCTTTTAAAGGATTTTTAAAATGCTGCATTGTATGATTGAAGTCTGCCTGTTCAACGAGTCCTAAGGTATAACAAGTGTCCACTAGTTCGTAGATACAGCAGATTTAGCAGTCCACACGTCTAAAGGTAATGGCAGTATAGACAAAAACTTGAAATGGTACAGAGAAGGGCCGCTCGCTATGTGACTATACTTGCCACAATACTAGTAGTGTTACAGACATGATTAATACACTACAGTGGCCAACACTAGCTGAGCGACGCCTCAAAACAAGATTAATAATGTTCTATAAAGTAGTTCATCAACTTGTCGCTATACCAACACAAATACTCATACCTACAGACACAAGAACTAGACAAAATCATTCACAAACATACAGACACTTACCAGCATCAAAAGATACATACAAATGGTCATTTTTTCCTCATACTATAATTCAATGGAATTTGCTCCCCCAATCTGCTGTCCAAGCCACTAACGTTGACATTTTTAGAGAACAGCTAACCTCAGCTGTTCTCAACACTATCATGTAAAAAGTAAAACAGTTAAATTTTTCTTTTAATCACTAATGTAAATAAAAGCACATTTTTTTTTCTTTATTAGGGCCCCGCAAGGATTTGCGGGTGCCCTATAGTAATCACTCTGTCTGTCCGTCTGTCTGTCTTCCGTCCACAAATTTTCTGTTTTTTTCTAATAAAACTTTTTTTTATGGTTGCCCAATCAAGTTCAAATTTGGTATGGTAGTTCAGTAGACAGAAATACATATTTTGATGCTAAGTTTGGTTCTCAGTGTCCTCTGGTTTGGAGCTGGGGTGGTGGGGTAGATTCCTTAACTATGCATAAGAATGAATGGGCAACTGTTTTTTATGGTTGCCCAATCAAGTTCAAATTTGGTATGGTAGTTCAGTAGGCAGAAATACATATTTTGATGCTAAGTTTGGTTCTCTATGTCCCCTGGTTTGGAGCTGGGGTGGTGGGGTAGATTCCTTAACTTTAGAATGCATTGGCAAAGAGAGATAACTGCTGAAGATGTTCCCATTGTAAAATGAATGCTGGCTATGAGTCCCTTGGGATTAATTAGGTTTCCTCCTGAAGAAAATCCAGAGCATTATCTTTATCTGTCACATTGAGATGAATTACCACCTCTGTCCGCAAATGAAGTTTGTTTTGAAGTTAAGTCAATTTGGAATGCTATGAACACTGTGAAATGTGGATTTAGATATAAATTTTTATAATTTATTTTTGTTTAATAGTTATTTCATTGAATTCTAAAAACAAGAAATAGCGCCCCAAACAGAAAAAAACAGCCTATCGGATCATGCTAACAACTCATGTTTAAATCATGGTTTTGATATGATTTCGGTATAGGAAAATTTCACATGCAAATGAGCTAATGGATCATGGTTCTGAGATGATCTGTTAAACTAAACAACTAGCAAGAAAACCATGATCCTGGTATGATCTGTTGTAGCTAACAACTCGTATTAAAACCATGATCCTGGAATGATCTGTTGTAGCTAACAACTCGTATTAAAACCATGATCCTGGTATGATCTGTTGTAGCTCACAACTCGTATTAAAACCATGATCCTGGTATGATCTGTTGTAGCTCACAACTCGTATTAAAACCATGATTCTGGTATGATCTGTTGTAGCTTACAACTCGTATCAAAATCATGATCCTGGTATGATCTGTTAAATTTAACAACTCATAGGAAAATTCTACTTCTTATACAATTTAACTTAACACTTTGATATTTGCAATAAAATTCTCTTTCATATTTGATAAATAATTTCAGTTACCAAACATAGGTAATCAGAGATTACAGAGCTCACCTCAACGAATGTTGTCTTTAAGGAAGGCAAAGTCACACAATTAATCAGCAAAAAGTATACATTCCAAAAATGAAAATATTTTTAAAAGCAATTTTGATCTGATACTTTGAAATAGACCTACATAAAAAAATTTAAATTACTTCTTCTTCATGAAAATGCAGCATCTGATGCAAATTTGAGAGTTTTCATCTCTTGATGCAGCATTTGTGCAAGTTTGGTTTATACAATGTTATATAAGCCTTATAGTTTTTGGTAATAGACCTGCAACCATAACTTTTACCTTGTCTATTATCTGAAAATGTATGTCCAATTCAGCATAAGAAGCAAGTCCATTAGTGTGCATCCTTAGATGTATCATCCATGCATGTTTGCTCATTATAGGGCTCATAATTTATTGGAAATGAAACATGCATCAAAACTAACATTTTCACTCATCCACAAAAAGTAGGTCAGATTCAGCATCCGAAGCAAGCCTGGAAGTATGCATCCTTAGATGTATCATCTATGCAAGATTGGTCATTAAAGAACTCATAGTTCCTTGGAAATGAAACCTGAACCAAAAACTTTTAACTAATCACTCAACCGGAAAATGTAGGTCAGATTCAGCATCCGAAGCAAGCCCGGTAGTGTGCATCCTTAGATGTATCATCCATGTAAGTTTGGTCAACATAGGGCTAATAGTTACTTGGAAATGAAACCTGCACCAAAAACTTTAACCTGTTCACTCAACTGGAAAATGTAGGTCAGATTCAGCATCCGAAGCAAGCCCGGTAGTATGCATCCTTAGATGTATCATCCATGCAAGTTTGGTCAACATAGGGCTTATAGTTACTTGGAAATGAAACCTGCACCAAAATGTTAACCTGTTCACTCAACCGGAAATTGTAGGTCAGATTCAGCATCCGAAGCAAGCCCGGTAGTATGCATCCTTAGATGTATCATCCATGCAAGTTTGGTCAACATAGGGCTTATAGTTACTTGGAAATGAAACCTGCACCAAAAACTTAAACCTGTTTAATCAACCGGAAAATGTAGGTCAGATTCAGCATCCGAAGCAAGCCCGGTAGTATGCATCCTTAGATGTATCATCCATGCAAGTTTGGTCAACATAGGGCTTATAGTTACTTGGAAATGAAACCCACACCAAAAACTGCACCAAAAATGTTAACCTGCTCCAAAAACATTAACCTGGTAATTCCTTTGCTGAAATTGCAGCATCTGAAACTTTGTCTGGTACAATAAAACACACTAAAAACATCTTCCATGCATGTCTAATCAGTATAGGACACAGAAGTAATTAAAAAGAAAACTGCTCCAAAAAACTTAACCTTAACCTGGGACGCCGACGCCGACACCGACGCCGACGCCGAGGGTATCACATAAGCTCCCCCCAACTTCGTTGAGGTGAGCTAAAAATTAAGAAAAAATATTATACACATATTTCATATGAACCATGACGTCATATAAATATAATCCCAACAAATGATCTTCCTCTATAAGATGACGATCTAAATATAAAACATTATCCAAACAGTTTCACTGAATTTTATAAGAACAGAATCACAGAAATCCATTCTTCTTAAAGAATAATCCGGAATTCATTGATATCACTGCTTATTTATGATTCTGCAAAAGCATATGATTACAACATTTGTTCACTACAGAATCAGCAGAGTGGTGGATCTATTATTCAGAATCACAAACACTGAAAGGGCTCCCAATGAAGTAGTCTATCCTCTGATATAAGCTCTTTATATATGTATATAAGCACCCTGAAAAGAAACGTAGAGAAAGTGGTATTTATTTATCGATCAACATATCATTATCTTTAGATCATGAAAATATGAAATATTTAAGTACTTTCCCCATTTCATTAGTGAAAAGAATTAGATTAATCACCAAAAGAATAATATTGTTGAAATGTAATATTATTTACGTACACAAATTTTGTCTTCACCAAAGGCGGGTCTTTTGAATTTGGTAATTTGGTGCAACTCAGATGTTAATCATGAAGATGGAAATGTCGGTAGCTGCAAAAGAATTTAATTTTTATAAATAAACATTTTATATAACATGTACATGTACAACAAATATTTGAATCAAGGAGATCAATTTGATGCTTAAATTAAGATTTCAATTCAAATCCATGTAAAACTTTGCTATGTCTCTTCTACAAATTTACAAAGAAAAATTAAATCATGCACTTGCTGGTAGAAACTAGAAATTAAAAAAGGTCAATAATAAAATTAATGAATTATACTTACCGAGTATAGAGTTAATAGTCCAGCACTTATTTTTATTGCTTATATGATGCAAAGGCTTTTCTTTTAAATAGGCAACAAGAAAACGCGCACATCTTGTTTATCAGAATTCAAATTCTGACCTAGATCAGCTGCAAACCACTGTACTACAGCGAGCTGCCCAGCAGGAGAATTGCATAACAAGGTTACTATGACTCTGAAACTGACCAGTGATCCAATCCTAATCTAATGCCTCAAAGTTAGATTGGCAGTGGATCGCAAATATTACATGAAGAGAAAGAGTTTTAATATAATACTGGCCGCGTAATTTAAACAAAATACATGTGTGCTAATTTAAAAATGAATTATTGTATTTGTTTGTCATTTAATTCAACTTCAAAAAAAAAATTATTGTCTTTGTAAATATACCTGTACATACTGTGTGCATTTTCATTATTAAAACTTAATTTTCCTGTTCCCTTTTAAATAAGACTTTTATTGATGTATGCATGTTGTATGATTCTCCAAGCTAGAGTGAATTTAAAGCTTGCATTTTCACCTATCATAGATGACAAAGTTAACAAACCACATCAGGATCATAAAACCAATTCTGACAAAGTTAACAAATCATATAAAACTCATGATTCTCAACAGAGAAGTTAACAGATCATGTGTAACTCGTATGGAGTTTAAAGACAAAGTTAAGAAACCACATCAAAATCACAAACTTTTAGCAGTTAAGTTAACGAATCATTTCAAACTCATATTCCTTTGTTTTCTAAGTTAATGGCACATGTCAGAATCGCAAGAAAATCATAGCAGACTCATTCCCCAGAAACAAACCACATCAGGATCATTCTTCCTTATATGTCATCTATGATTTCAG